TGCTCATTTACTAGCACCCCTAAGAATAATAAGTAGAAAATTCAAAAGAACAATGAAGCTGCTAAAAGTTCAGCACAAAAGAAACAAAATAGAGAAGAACTAAAAAATTTGATTGTTTCTTTTGTGGTAAGTCTAGTCATACAAAGAAAACTTGTATCAAATATCATTCTTGGCCAGTAATGAATGGTACACTTCTCGATTTAGGTTGTTTTGAAGCTAATCTAGCTTTAGTGTCAAAACATACTTGGTAGATTGATTTAGACATCACTACTCGTATATATGTGTCAATGTAGGGTTATCTGAGCTACTGAAAGACAATTGTTGTTGAAAGATTCATATATAGAGGAGATGGTAAAATGATTGAAGTGAAGCTATACGACATTTTAGATTATTATTATTATGTACTTGTTATTATTTGGATTTGAAAGATATTGTTGTTGTAGTGTCATTTAAACAGGATTTAATTTTTAATTCTTCTTTGTACAAATTTGGATATACTTGTTCATTTTGAAATAATCACTTCAGTCTTTCTTTAAATTCAAATGTTATTGGTATTGTTATTTATGTCATCAAGATTTTTTATACTTGCTCAAAACGGTTGCTCCTTATAATGAAGCCTTGCATGTCAATGCTAATGACATAAAATGAAGATTAAATAATGATAATTTTATTTTGTTATGGTATAAGCAGTTAGGTCATATTTCAAGGAATAGAATGGAAATGCTTGTGCTGGATGAAATTCTAGATTTTATTGACTTCACCGACTTCAAAGTTTGTGTTGAATGTATTAAAGGGAGACAAACTAATAAAAGAAGACAATGTGGCAAAAGAGCTTCAGACATCTTAGAATTAATACATAAGGATATTTGAGGATCATTTCCTAGGATTTCATGGAATGGTCAACAATATGTTATATCATTCATACAAGATTTTTCTCAAAATGGTTACCCATATCTCATACATGAAAAATCACAATTATCAAAGGTGTCCAAATCATATAAATTTGTGGTTTGGGGAGAAAATAAGGTTAGAGATTTTTATCTTTATAGAGGATCTTGATCAAATGGAATTGCTTCCTATTCTTACAATTGCTTCAATTAATGTTCAGGTTTCTATTCCTTTTATTGATCAAGTTGTAAATCAATATCAAGAAGATAAAATCGTTGAACTTCTTAGGTACAAATTCAAATCTCTTAAGAACAGCTGCCGCGAGAACTTATGTCATTAAGGAGATCACTAGAAAGAAAAGTGTTATTTCAAATGATTATATAATGTCTCTTCAATAGCATGATGCTAACATTAGATTGGTGGAGAATGATTCCATCAATGCTCATCAAGCCATGGAAGGTGTAAAATCTCAAAAACGAATTGATGCCATGAATGAAGATATCATGTCTATGTAAGGCAATAAGGTTAGGGATATTGTTCTCTTACCTGAAGGAATCAAGTGGTTGTAAATGAATATTTAAAACAAAAAGGGATTTAAAGGGTATTGTAGAACGATATAAGACTCGTCATATTGCCAAGAGCTTTACTGAAAAGCAATACATCGATTATAAAGACATTTCCTCCAGGTTTTATGATATGCTTTTTTAGAATAATTATGACACTTATAACATATTTTAATCTTGAGTTAGATCATATAGATGTTAGGACAACAATTCTAAATAATGACTTTAATGAAACAATTTATATAATGCAATATGAAATTTTTGTTTCGAAAGATGTAAAGAGGACAAATTCCAGATTAAATAAATCCATTTATGGACTTAAGCATGCTTCTCGTTAATGGTATCACCAATTTCATGAAGTGATAATCTCATTAGGTTTTGAGATGAAAAAAGTTGATAATTATGTATATATTACATAAGTTTAGTAGGAGTAAGTGTATTTTCTTCGTATTATATATTGAATTGTTGATCACATACTACTTGCCACCAATGATATATTCATGTTATACAAAATCAAGATATTTCTGTCAAAGTATTTTGAAATGAAAGATCTTGATGATGCATCTTTTGTTTTAGAGATTAAAATATATTGTGATCGTTCTCGAGATATTCTTGGGCTATCACAAAAACACTAAATTGGAAAATTGCTTATAAGATTTGGCATGCAAAATTGTAAACCAAGAGAAATTATGGATAAAGGAGATAAATTTACTTTAAATCAGTGTATAAAAATGAATTTGAGGAAATGAAATGAAAAATATTCCCTATGCATTAGTTGTTGAGAGTCTAATATATGCCCAAGTTCCCATATGCTGGATATAACATATAGTATTGGGATTTTTGTTAAATATTTGAGCAATCATGGAATGAATCAATAGAAAGAAACAAAATGGATTATGCAGATTTACAAAAAAAAAAGATTACATGCTCACATATAAAAGTTTCGACAATTTAAGATTATTGGTCACTCAGATTTAGATTTTAGTTGATGTTAAGAAAGTCTTCGACCCACTTTAAGTTTTATTTATCCGTATGTTGGAGGAGCTCTTTCTTGAAGGAGTTCCAATCAATCATTAATTGGTTCTTCCACTATGGTAGTAGAGTTCATAGTAATTATGAAGCATCTGATCACAAAATATGATTGCAAAACTTTGTCACTGGGCTACAAATTATGAAACATATAGAAAGATCACTTAAACTATTTTAGGAAAATAATTTTTTTATTATGTCTTTCAATAACAAAAGGAGTTCTTCAATAACAAAACATATAAATATCAAGTGCTCTAGCATTAAAGAGAGAATTTGGAGTGGTCAAATGTCAATAAAGGGCATTGACACAAACTCAATGATTATGAATTTGCTCATTAAAAGGTTTCCACTAAAGGTCTTTCATGAGCACACTACTTAAATGGATATTCGATTTCTTGATAATATATAATTTTAGCGGGAGTTTGTATTTAGATATTATTTTCTTTTAAATATATAGACATTATGTATTTTTTTTTACATAAATGAAGTATTCAGTTTTGTTTTCTCTTTGAGTTTGATTTGATTTTTTAATCTCATTAAAATTTAAGTTTGAACAAGTTGGAATTAGTCATGTATAGAACACATTGCATGTAATTATCATGCTACAGATCAATATTTGATCTATGTCATTTGGTTGTATTGATATATGTCATAATTGATTTTCTAGTCATGCTATACTTGTGATGAAAGTCACTTTGGTTATATATCGATATAATTAATGGAAGAGATTGTCAAAGAAAGTTCTTATACATGTTAGTAATCATTGAGCTCAATAAAGCAAACACATTTATAAGGCAACATATGTGGCCTAAGTGGGACATTGCAGTAAATGTAAATAAATAATAATTTTATATGGACCAACATTGATAGATAAATGTGTTATTTATGTTATCATAAAGTTAAGCCTAATTAATATGATCCAATAAAATATAGGATTATGTCTATTAAAATTTTAAAATATGGTAAAAAAAATATGTGTGTAGAGGCTTATTTGTATTTTTAACTTTTATGATGGACAAAATTGAAAGTACAAATGTGTAGGAAATAACCACTAATGAGTAGTGATCTTAAAGATCATAGTCTCCATTTCGTGCGTTTAAGTGTCTCTTCACTTTTTTAAAGGAAAGATAGAGATCTTTTTTTTGCATGAAACCACATCAAACAGAAGATTTAAGGAACACACATGAAGGTTGCCACAAATGTTGTACTTGGAAGTTGTGACCGTAGTCGTTAGCCATAAAGGTTGTAATTGATTCCTACAATGACAATATTTTATCTTAAGGGTTGTGGTTGGTGGATGCATAGAGACAGTTCACCATAAAGGTCGTAGTTGGAAGCTATAACAATAGTAATTCGCCACAAAAGTCGTAGTTTATTACTATAAAGGTCCTAGTTGGTTATAAAGGCTCTAGTCGTAGCTAGACTCTGTAACTGTATTAGTTGGCCATAAGGGCCGTATTTTTGCTACAACAGTTGCAAGCAGCGGTTACTGGTGGTCGATGGTTCGCGACGGCATGCAGTGATAACTGACGGTAGTCAATGGTGATCGATGGTGTTCGCTGGCTATGGAGGCTTGTGATTTTTTGTTGGATTTTAAATACAAGTGTTAAACATAACAATTATATTTGAATTGTAATGATTGCACAGAATGTCATCGGTGGTCGACGGTCAGCTGTGACAGACAGTGATGGTCAACAGTGGTCCGCTGTAGCCGATGGGTACGAAGACTAGACATTATCGTTGCGTCTTCTCTTTAGAAAAGGCTCTGAAATTTTTGTTCTTCCTCCCTCTCTCCCAAGTGAAGGGATGATGTCTATATAGAGCCTCTTAGGAAGGGGTGTATTTTAGACTTTTGGCACGTAACTGCCTTAACCACCTAATTCAACGGACTGTATTGATCCTCCTTAATCATAGAGAATATTTTGTTGATTTGAATGTCTTAATAACTTCAAAACTTAGCATTCTTAAGCTTGTTAGATTCCTTTTATCGACAAGCTCGACCTGACTATAAATATACCAAATTTTAAATTCATTTAACTGTTCATTTCACGATCTAATGCCTCCTAATGTTCTACAGTATTGACATATTTGACGATCTAATTTTGACATCATTGAATTTATTATGTCAGGACGGTTAGTTTAACTGTTAACTTATTTAAATCATGGCTTGAATGATCATAATTTAAATTTAGAATATTATTAATTTAAGAAAAAAATTTTCGAGACACATGCCAGATAAAAAGACACATCAATTTACCATTCAAATAACATAATAGCAAGAAACATGAGTGCACCAACTAATCCCTTAAATTTACAAAACCATTCACATTCATTCAATTATGTATCAAATTAATAATTATATCATCCAATTAAATACTTAAATGTCACCACCAAGTAAACTTTTATTTACATTGCATACAATCAAATCACCCACTAAAATTCAGTACAAATTCCAACTTTTTCTCTAAAAGCATTGTAATGTCATTATGTTTTCTTTTTATTTTTAGCACTCATCTTTAAACCCGAGGGCGGCGGGTTGATTTATAAAAGAGAAGCGCCTCTTCGTAAACCAAAACTCACCACCATTCCTCTGCCCCACTCCCCTCCCCTCCCCTCCATCCATGGCGATCGTCGCCGTCCTCATCTCCTCCCTCGCCTTCCTACTCCTCGCCGCGGCTTGGTCCATCCTATCCTCCTACATCCTCACCCCTCTCCGCATCCGACGACTCATGCAAAAACAAGGCGTTCCAGGCCCCAAACCTCGCTTCCTCCTCGGCAATCTCCCCGACATCGCCTCCCTCCTCTCCCAATCCACCTCCTCCGACATGCCCTCCGTCGACCACAACATCGTCGCCCGCCTCCTTCCTCACTACCACCTCTGGTCCAAAATCTATGGTACATAACATTCATGTTATACCACTTATCCATCATGCATTTATGTTAGAGAGCTGAAATTTAATTATTTTTCAGGGAAGAGATTTGTCTTCTGGTATGGGAGCGAGCCGAGGCTTTGTCTAACGGACACGGAGCTGATAAAGGAGTTCTTGTCGTCCAAATATGTGCAGATCTCCGGCAAGTCATGGCTACAATTGCAGGGATCGAAGCACTTCATTGGGCAGGGCTTGCTGATGGCCAACGGCTACAAATGGCTGCACCAACGCCATGTAGTTGCGCCGGCCTTCATGGGAGAGAAGCTAAAGGCATGCCATTTTTTTCTTTCTTTCTTTTTTTTTTTTTTTTTTAAATTTGTTACATATCCACGCATGACATTACGAGGCCGCACAAATGTCGCGCAGTTTGCCAAAAACAGAGAAATTTCTATATTTAATTCTTCGTTGTCGTTCAAGATTTCTTTTATATAGATAGTTATTTTTAAAATAGTTTATTAGTGATAAGGGCTTGTAATTTAAGATAACAAAAAACATCAAATGTAGGATGGGTGATTAGAAACTTAATGCTGATTATTTTATTTGTTTATTTTTTGTTAGTTGCCTACAAAATGTGGAGCCCGCTTCAAGCTGGGAGAAAATATTATGTCTGGACGACTGATGTGTGGATAATGAACGAGCGGACGACGACAGGAATCACACCATGCCGTCGAATATGCGGTGTGGTATGATCCACGCCAAATCTAATTAACCGGACATAATATTTTCTCTGGTTCATGAGATTTGGTGCATCAATGATAGTATGTTAAGGTGGTGAAGAATGAAGGATGGGCCGACCACTTGATTTAGAAGAAAGGAAAAAAAAATTGATTTTTGATTTTACTATGAAAGCTTAAAATATTCTAAAAGTAACATTGAAGTGCTTTTATTTTTATAACATGGTTTAGATTTTAAGGATACAGACTCCAATTCATTTGAAAGTCAATTCATTTGAAAGTTCATTTGAAAGTTGATATATATATATATATATAGATAGATAGATATATAGATAGATTAGAGGTCCTATTGTGTCCATGGGTGACAAATTTGTAAGCAACTACGTTGTCAGTCATCAGACCCCTTTAACCCATGTTCGATCGCTATAGGGACAGATAACATATATATCGGAAGCAGTATTCTCAAATATCATATTTTTAATAAAAATATATTAGAGGTACTATTTATATTGAGTTTTATGTTATTTTATTTTACTTTTGTTGTTGTATTTGCATTGATTTTTATGTTTCACTTCTTATGATATTATTTTTTAAGGATTTACTCTGCTTGATGTTACACATACTTTGATATATGATACTTAGACTAAGCTGAACACAAATCATCAAGGTAAATGACAATTATCAAGACAAAGTTCTACAAAGAATTCCTCATAGGAATTTTGACCGGTAGGGTATATAAAATAAATATTTGTTGTACCACCTGGCTCAAGTTCATTTAATAACACATGTTCCTATTTGAAAAAAGATAATTATAAACCTTCAGTACATAAAATTTAATATTACAGCACGCAGAATTAGTCTTACAGAGCTATAGAATTGTATTACAAGACAGAGGAATATGATGAATCATCAAATAAATTTAAATGAGAATATCTTCATTTATGCATGTTTATATAATGAAACAATAAAGTTAAAAATCTATTAATTTAAACCCCCTAAAGCTATTATTAGCCGAACATAAGTCAAGATTCGGCTCTGCATTGACTGTTCTGTTCTGTTCTGTTCTGTTCTGTTCTGTTCTGTTCTGTTCTGTTCTATACTTTCAATGTTGAACAAGTATTTATGATCAATTAAAAACTAAATAGTTGAAACTAAACTAAAAAAACAATTGAAAGTTACAGAAATGAAATAATTTAATCAGTTTCTGTTGTCATTTTCCTTCTTCGTCGCTTTTATGAAATCTTAATATTGAAGAATTTAATTGCCATGAAAATATATTTTCTTTCTTCGACCTTGCAGAGCCAGATGGGTTATATGGTGGAGTGTACGAAGAAGACGATTCATGCACTCAGCGCCGCCGTGGCAGCCGGCGGCGGCGAAAAAGAAGTGGAGATCGGTGAGTATTTGACTAGGCTCACCGGAGATATCATATCCAGGACTGAATTCGATAGCAGCTACGAGAAGGGTAAGCAGATCTTCGTTTATCTCACCCGCCTGCAAAGTCTCACCGCGCAGTCCAGTCGCCATTTGTGGATTCCTGCCAGCAGGTTCGTCGTTTCCTGTAAATACATTATTTTAATTACTAAGAATAGTTTTATAAAAACATTCAGGAGGTTACATACAAATAAATGCGACATGACACCCATTATAAAATGAATTTTATATAAAAAAATTAGTGAGTATTTAAATAAAAGCCTAAATAATCTTAAATTAAGATACTAAACTTAGGAACTAGATTGCATCTTTTCAATTTGCAAGATCATTTGTCGTGTTTTAGCTGGGGATTTTTCTTTATTTATTAACAAAGTCATTAATTATCATTTTTTTATATAAAAACATTTTGTCTTTTGACTAATTTGGAAGCATGTGCTAAAAAATTATGATAGTCAAATTTAATGAAATAAAAGTCAAATAATTTTTCAAATCTGAGACATTTAATATACATATAGACAAGTGAAGCCAATCACCAAATATTTTAATTTTTTGACTATCCAATTGCAACTAAATAGCAATTGTCTTGTAGTTCATGTATATATATATATTTGCATTTTGTTTTAACCAAATAGATCAAAATAATTTAAAAAGATAATTTTTATTTTTTTCCACTTTAAAATGTTTACCCTCTTCCAATTTGGCTTTCAGGTTTTTCCCGAGCAAGTTTCGGAGGGAAATAAAGTCACTGAAGAAGAAGGTGGAGAAGCTACTCATGGAGATCATAGATAGCAGGAGAGACAGGGTAGAGATCGGCCGGAGCTCCTCGTATGGCAAAGGACTTCTCGGCATGCTGCTCGCGGAGACCTGCAAGAAGGAAGCCTCCGGCTACACGCTGGAGCTGGTGATGGACGAGTGCAAAACCTTCTTCTTCGCCGGCCATGAAACCTCTGCTCTTCTTCTCACATGGACTGTAATGCTCCTCGCCACAAATCCAGAGTGGCAACAGAAGGCTCGCGCTGAAGTCCAGCAGATCTGCGGCAATCAGCCTCCATCCGCCGACCATCTTCCCAAGCTCACTTTGGTAATTATTCAATTAATCCTCTGCCTAAATCCTCCCCTTGAAATCTAATCATCTATGCAAATTCAAAAATTACATTTTTTTATGAAAAAAGTTTGCAATTTGTCCTGCAGCTTCAGATGATAATAAACGAGTCCCTACGGCTGTCCCCGCCGGCGACCCTGCTCCCCCGAATGGCCTTCCAGGACATGAAGCTCGGCGACTTGCACATACCCAAGGGACTTTCAGTCTGGATTCCGGTGCTGGCAATCCACCACGACGAAAAAATATGGGGAAAAGATGCGCACAGCTTCAACCCGGACCGGTTCGCCGCCCGGTCCTTCGCCATGACCCGACACTTTCTCCCTTTCGCTTCCGGTCCGAGGAACTGTGTCGGCCAGGCGTATGCTATGATGGAGGCGAAGGTCATACTGGCCATGCTGCTCAGCAGCTTCAGCTTCGTCATCTCAGAGAATTACAGGCACGCGCCGGTCAATGTTCTGACGCTTAAACCGAAGCACGGAGTTCAGGTCTACCTGAAGCCGATCAGGAATTAGTTGAGCTACAGGGCCAGCAGCGTTGACCGTCTATATGATATTCTGATTTTTTTTTTTTTTTTTTTTTTTTTTTTTTGGGCGGGGGAGTTATATCGGCTTATAAATGTTTTTGGTAGCTAGAGTGGTACAGAACGAAGAGCTGGTTTGCAGGACAGTGACAATATTCGCATTCCAGTGTACAACCAAATTTAATTATAATGATTTTTAAAATTATCAAAATTTATTTTGATATGTGTCTAATATGAATTTTTGTTGATTACCAATTTAGTACATTTATTCAAGTAGATGCACAATTTATAGCCAAGTTATATTTATCTTTTTTTTATTATGCAAAGGATTATAAAAAAAAAATTCACATAACAAACAAGTAATCTAATGAAGCAAGATTTACGTGGTCCGGCATATGTTTGCCTATGTCCATTTGGGGGGCTTATTTTACTATTTAATAGGTGAGAAGAAGAAAAAAAATAACTTAAATGGAGTTATAACTCCACGCACTAAAAAAGACATAGTCTCTCCTATAAATAGAAGGGAAATATGACACATGAATAAAAAATAACCATGTTACCCCTATACACATAAAGCCTATAATACAATATTATCCATATTATATCTCACTTTTAAATAAGTAGAAGATGGTAAATTGAGCTTCAAGAACTAAATGAAAGTAACAAGATGGTTTCTTACGTACTCCCACCTCTCGAAGAGATCAAGCCCCGCATAGTTCTTCTAAATGCCCGAATAAGAAAAAAAAATTATTATCTCGGATGTTCACTAAACTCCTATAGTAGGTAAACTTCTTGACTGATAGTATCTTCGTGAGCATGGACATTGGATTCTCCTTTGTATCTATCTTCTTCAAGAGAATTTTCTCGTCATTAATCAAGATCCGAACAAAATGGTACACACATCAGTGGATTTGCTATAGACATGAAGAATTGAATTCGTGACAAAAAATATCACCCTCTGGCTTTCATAAAAACCGTCATAAACTTTTGATCAACTCCCAAAGTCATTCAGTAGACCATGCATCCGCATCACTCCTATCATCACCTTTGTGATAATTTCCATGCACTTAGCCTCCGTAGTAGATAAATTAACAGTAGATTAAGATATTGTACCTTTTGTCGATGTGAAAAAAATAGTTATTCATATACCTATGTCTATCCATATTGTTTGCCTAGTCTGAATTTGTGTAGCCTACACACAAATAAATAATAATTAAAGCCTCTCAACTGCCAAGCCGACATCAACGATACCCTTCATATATCTCATAATATTCTTTACATCCTATCAATGAATCCATCTTGTATTAAGCATGAATCTGCTCTCAAGATCAATGGCTTTTACAATACATACTTTAGTACAAATCATAACATACATAGAGTTCTCACTACATTAGCATAAGAAATTGATCACATATGTTTTCTTTCCCTGTCTTTTTTAAGATACTGTTATAAACTCAACTGAAAGTTAGATTCAATGGGTAGACTCGCCACGTTTCTCAAGTTATCAACCCCAAACTTCTTCATCAACACACTAACATATGCTCCTTCGAGAGAGAAATCTTTCCAGCAACATTATCCATGAAAATCTCCATGCTAAGAGTTCTATGAGCTTCTTCCAACTCTTTCATCTCAAAATATTTAAACCTTTGCTTCTTCATCTTAACAATCTTAGTTTGTTTGGTGACCAGATCCGTAGTTACGCAATTATTTAATTTCCTGGCAAAAAATTTGACCCAGTTTTTTTAAGTGACTAGTGTGCAAAATGGATATGTTATAGAGTTTACAATTTGATTTATAGTTTACACACTAGGGGTTTTATGCAAGTATATGTATCGTTTAAGTAATATAGGGCTCAAATGGAGCCAATTATTGATCATATAGAGAAGCAAGGTAAGAAATCTCTTAGGCTAAGTTCTAGTATATTACTATCCCGTCTTAGTTTGGAATGTCAATTAAGGGAATTTTTCTAACGAATACTCCTAAATAAAAACCTAAATTTAAAGTTAAACTTATATAGATCAATTGGTTTTGGTAAATTTTGAGATGTAATAACTACCTTTCTCTTTTGGGGACTTAGATAATGTGTAGGAATGGGATGCTTAGAATCTAATGTAGCTAGTGACAACATCAACAAAAATCTAAGTTACCCTCTTTTGAGTGTATAACAAATCTCGACTAACCTAGTGTCGATTCCTTAAATGTTATATTATAATGACAAAACTTCTAGCCTGTCACCCTAGAGTCTAAATCCTAACTTCTCTCAAATAGTCTAATCTTAGTATTACAGTACAAAGCCTTAGATCAAATTAGTAGGAATCTAGTATATCACCCTAGAAACACCAATTTACAACCAATTTACACCCCCAATTTACACCCAATCAACAAATATCTCCCTAACATTGCATTGAATCTTAGGACTACTTTTTCTTCACCCAGAAGTTTAAAGTAGTTCCTCCTAGTTATTAAAGCCATAACCCTCCCAGATCTTATGAGTTTACAACAAATTTTAAAATACTACTTGGCCATATTGATTAATAAATGAAGAATGAAGTAAGAACCATCACTATGATATGAAAAACCTATTCTAACTTGCATCCTAACATCCTAAACATTTATCCAATTTATTTTAAAAGAAAAGTACAAGAGTTCTACTTCACAACGTAGGTGTCATACACAGTAGAAAGCTTCATTAAATCAAAGCAAATTAACTAGATAGGTGTTTACAACAAGTATAAGATAATGAAGAACAAAATACTAAGCTTTTTCCCTATGAAAGAAAGATGAAAATCCCTCTAACAAAATCTCACGCTAATCTATATAATGTTAATACAATCCCTTATAAATATCTCTCAAAACTCTCACCAATCTCTCTAGAAAAGGTAAAAATCTACATATTCTACTCCTATCTATGACCTCTCGGCATTTCTGGAGAATTCCAGGACTTAAATGGACACATATTTATCTTATAGTTTATGAGTTTAGCATAACTCTGAATGGGGTGCTCTAGAAATGGACACATATTTGAAGAAAAATTGTATCATTATAATTTTTTTTATCCATTCATGTGTTTTATATATATTTCTCTTATGGTAATTTTTATTGAACTGCTCTCATGCACTTCTCATGTAAAATAATCAAAATAGTAAATCCTTGATCATCAATTGTGCTTTACTCTTTTCAGAATCAAATGCCTTTTATTAAAAAAAAAATAATCACTGCCTCTTCCTTCTTCGCTTGAGTGTGCTCTGGTGACCAACATACTCACCTTTCATTCAAAAATAATTAACAACAGTTGAACAACTCATTAGCATATCCTATTTTAGTCGCATAAAAAGTTTATTTATTTATTTCATTAGAGTACAAAATCACGATAATATTGTGGCGCTCAATTCAAATTTCTTTATTAGTTATTTGAGTTAAGTAGTCCCACACAACTACTTTCCTCTAGTTTTTAACATCTTATTATAACTAAAAAGCCTATCTTCATTCCACACTTGTACATATGCCTACTTAACTAATATTTAGTTTATCTAAGTTAATCCTTTGCATGCTCACATGAGCTTGATGAAGCACCAAACGCATGTGTATGTGGAAAGCAGCGAATCATAAGCAAGAAAATGGTGGAATTATCATGTGGTTTGTGCTCCACATTTTTATAGTATATCATCAGAGTTTGATTATTCTGAAAAAGCAGAACAATATGGCGACAATGAGAAGTGGATAAGCCTATTATAAGGATAATCTTATAACTAATTTGTGCGCATTGCACCATTGGTCCATGTATAACTCGATTCTCCTAATGAATTATTTATATATCTGAAGTGCTGTGCTTTATCTTTTCATAAATTCTCCACCTTGTATGAGTGCCTTTCAAATGATGGAGCTCCACGGATGCCCTGTTTTTTCAAGTATTTTATCTTAGTCATTAATCTTTCTATCAGCATTAACAATAAACTAAGTATTTGTTAATGTTTTATTTCTCCAAATGTGCATTTCAAAACCATGTCCAACTGGAAATATTTCTGCATGTGATTAGCACTAACTAATAATTTAGTTTGATATTAAAGAGATGACTCAAATATTTTATTGTTTAATCAAAAGGAAGAGGATCAATTATAGATAAAGAGGCATGATGTTGATTTATTGTGTAAAAAGCTTTAAAACAAGATGGAAATTTCTATTTTTGTTTTGTTTTGTGTAGTGACACATGTAAAATCATGGGTGTTGAACATTGTAAAGGTATTGAAGCTATGGCATATGTGATGTCTGTTAATTTAAAATTAGGAACATTCATATCAAAGGTGCTTCTGTGAATGGGTTTTGATCAGATGAGAAAAAGAAGATAGATTTTTTAGTATTTGTTATAATTCACTTGAAATGAGATATGTAAGACATTCATGAATCATGAGGCTTGTTTCAACTTTATGATTTACATATTTTAAGATTTTTGAGATGCATGAATTAGTGTTGAGGCAGAAAACTTCTAATGTTGATAAATCATTTTCTTCTTTTTTTAAATGTTTGTTAAGCAATTAAATTATTAGAAAATTTGATGTTTGATCTATGTATGACTTATTTTTTTGGCGAATTTACATTCATGGAACACAATTCTTATGTATTTACGTATCTTAAACCTAAACTTTCATATTTACACATAGCACTCAAAACTTCAACATCAAATCAAAAATAGTACTATTATCACCTCTTAAAAATGAAATAAGCATATTCAAGCATTGATATGAAGCACCAAAGTGTGATGTATGTAAATATGAAAGTTTAGGTGTGAGAGACATTAATGCATAAGAATTGTGTGCTAGGTATGTAAATTTTCTCTTATGAGAATTATTGGTCATCGTTCTAGTTTATTAAAACTCACTAACGGCTTCTCGATTGTCCTTAACTATCAAATTTAAATTTGTCAATAACCTACAGGTTTGCCCATCAAGCCCATCGGTTATTAAATTGCTATTGATAAGAGCACCCGAAAAACACATTTTTTTAATGTCCATTGAAAA